GAACGATCAATTGTATATACGAGGAGGATGGGAAAATAGATATTTAAAGAACAGAGTGAAGGAGTCATACTGTGGAGAGATTCAAGTGTTCTGGAGAATAAAAGGACCAAGACAGTGATGTCCACTTTGCTCAAACCTATTTACATAACAGATATGAAGAAATGATTAAGATAGGGTTCAAGTGGAGGATTCGAAGGGACGAAGGAATATATGGTCCTTCGTTGATGACATACTTATAATGGAAACAGAAGAAAAACTAGATGACGGAAATTATGGGAAGAATGGATATACTGGGAAAAAAGGGAATGGATTAAAATGTCGAGATATCGAAGATGAGATTTGGGAAAGAGGGGGGAGAGAAAATGGTGGTAAAATGGAAGTCGAGGTAGGATAGGAGAACTTACAATTAGGAGCCAAAGTATGGATTTACGTAGTAATATATGCCTACGATACCAATTTCATTTTTAAACAGGGACATCTGATAAACCGTGGCTGATCCATCCTTGACACCTGCAGATTAAGCCAGGGGCACTGAATTCAATTTATAAGTTTCTGTATGTTTTGTCAAGGTATAAGTGGTAGAACAGGATACGAAGACGGTCTCCTTTTAAATTCCCATTTTTACATTTCAAGGTTTTGCATGGAGTAGCCTGTTCGGTATCGCCAACCGACTTTTATTTTGCCTTTCATTTATCAAGCGGATTTTTTTAAATAATGAAGGAGCTTCAAGAACCCGTTTCGTAGATCTAGATGTGCCTCTAACAAATGTGTTCCCAGTTATTCTTTTTTAGGTATAAAAAACATGGCGATTTTGCACGGGGAAGACCAATAAAAAAGAGAGCATTCGTGAATATTTTTAACGTAATGAATTATATTTGGAGACTTGCTACCCTGTTTCTTTTATAAATGGCAATTGGGGATTTTAATTAATGGGTACCTATGATTTTGTAAAATGAGCAAATGAAATGTAATAAGCGATAGACTATGATTACATGATTAACGTGATTTTGCTTGTTACCTGCACGAATAGGCAAATTACAATTGCAGTTATTGGTGCATTATACGTAAACAATTATAGTGTTACTAAAAATCATAGTCTTCCGGTAGGAAATGATTGTGATTACTTTGCTACTAGATTTGTATAATTGTATGAAGTTGTTCCAAGCATCTAAGATTGAAAAATCATATTTTTTTAATTTTGGTTCCTGTGAGTAGGTACCATCTACCATCCAGTCCACTCATAAATATACTGACAGATCCCAGCATATTTACCATAAGTTTTTATCACGTCGAACTTCCCTTCTAACACAAATAACTTCTTCTTTATAGGCATCTAGATTAATTAAATGAAAAGGTTTCATTGTAACTTCTTCTTCTGTAATTTCTACCTACATTATGGTACCCGACTAGAGTCAATAGATCCCATATGATTTTCGTTGGATTTTGGACTGTCCCTCCCATGCAAAATTGTGTACGAATTAATGCAAAGTAGTGGGTTTTTAAGTGAAATTCATTTTCGCGGCCGCTGTCATAGTGACGGCCGTTAAAGTAAAACAATGTCACATATATTTTGACAATCAGCATGTAGGTAATTACAAATCTTTTGGATAAATGTTAATATTAATCGTACAGTTCGTATTGTTACTTATACTTACTCCTGAAAGAAAGTCTAAAGTGTTAGAAGCGTTATACTTTGAAACTGTAACATTTTGATTTTCATTAGAACTCAAACCGACAGGTACACTTTTTTATACACTCGTTTATATTAAGCATGCACTTTAGCATCGAATACACACTCCATAAGCTTGAACTTTTTAAGGTCTTCGATTTTTCCATAAGCTAATAGTACATTTTCAGACAAGGTTCCGGATATCGAATAATCACTTTCGGAGGCACACATTTTGACTGTTCTTTCACGAAAAATGTTTATCTCATTTCCATGGTAAAATGAAAACTGGCCGTCTTTCTATTTGCGACGAAAATTATTATTTTTGAAATCTCATTTTTATTTATTGACGATTCTACACAATTGCACAATAGTATATTGAAAGACAAGTGTTACAATGCGACCTAAATTGTAATACGACTATCTTGTGGCACGAGTGGCGACGCGAAGCGTAGCCACGAGTGTCCGCAAGATATGAGTATTACAATAAAGCATTGTAACACGCGTTATTCATACTATTTTTTCTATTTCGGTGCTTTAATTTAATTAAAAAAATCATTATCAGAAACTATAGGGAACATTAGAACTAACATGTTTTATGTTGGGAACATTTTTTATGCCGTTAAGTTTTAGGTTGGCAGCGTAGTAAGACTGACATTTTGAAGTTCAAACATGGAAGTACCCAATGAAGTACCTACTTGTACTAACTAGTAACTGCCAACTTAAGCAATGAGTTACCAAAAAAAAACGACTATAATCACTGTCTTTGTACAACTGTTTTCGGCCGAAAACAGTTGTACAAAATCATCATTGTGACACCGAAATAGAAAAAAAATGTTGTGTATACCACGGCCGCGTCATTCTTTAACGTCCTCAAAGTTGCCTTGTCTCGGCCGCAAGCGGCCTCGGCGCCAATCTTCTTTTCCCTACGTTAAAGAATGACTTCGCGGCCTAAGTATACAAATTAATTTTATATTTTAAAGAAAAGTTTTGAAAAAAATTTTAAAAAGTGTCGGCGCATGTCTAGTTATATATATCTGAGCAACTCCGAGATACTTGACTCGATTGAGAAAACCATAGCCATAGATCATTAATAATTAAAAAAATAATGAAAAACTAGAACAAACAAAAGTTACAAACATTTTGTTCCTATTTATTGCACTATTGAGCATTGTAAAGAAAAGCAAGTATAAAAAATTAAATATATCCAAAAAGTTTCCGCCTTTCCGCAGTTTTGCTGGCAAATTCTTTCAATATATCATCTACTTCTACACTTTTTGTAATTTCTGCATGCAGAAGATGTGTTAGTCGCTTTTGAGTGATTTATCTACTCATTCTTAGAGTGTAAAAACTGAGGGGGCGACTCGCCCCCTCTGACCCATACTGCCGACGTCGCTGCTTGCTGTAACTTACTTTTGTGACATTGTTGACGCATCGGTTTTCGTTTTGTGTAACTTTCCCTAAATATTGTTCTTTTATAAGTACGATTTTTCATGTACAGTGTGTTCAATATCTTTTTCATTTGGCGAGATTAAAAAAAAATTGTTAATATAATTTTATATGCCATATCACGATCTATCCGATCGCATATTGAAGCTTTCGGTGACTTCCTGTTAAACCGGAAATCGATGCAACTTTCGTTTTTCAAATACAATGCCTATGTTTTTTTAAGATCATTGGAAATTGGCGGTACGACAACATCAAATACGCATACGGCTGATATACAATAACGAATGGAGAAATTCGTGAATCAATATTTAGAAAACTTATAAAATCTAGCACGCCGTGTGCTTTCAGGACGCATGGTGTCGATTGTGTTACACAGAAAGGAGCTACATCAACTTGTTCAATGTTCCGTTTGGAGATTTACGTTTACGCGACAGGATCTCATGTAACATATGCCTTCTCTGTTCGAACTTATCAACCATCTTTTTCTCTGTATTTCTAAGTTTCCTAAAATTATTTTAAGTTGTTTTTTTATTTCAAATTATGTTTCTTTCTCCGATGTAACGGGCCCTTTTTTAAGCTCCACGGTTGAACGGAAAACGTAAGCAATTAAAGCAATTGGCTTTAAAATTCATCAAAATATTTGTTGCACCGTCTCTAAACTTACCTTCTAATTCCCGCGGGTATAAAAACTAATGTTTATGTACTCCTTGACATAGAAAAGTTGATTGCACTCAACCTCCCTTTTCATAGGAAATACAAAAATTCAGTATATTGATTCAAAAAGGAATTATTTGGACTATTTAACAGCAAATTGAAATTATTATGGCACCCTAAGCTGTTTAAATCAAGGTGAATAAAAAACAATACAACACCCAAATGTTTTACGGTACCTTCTAAATATTTTTCTCCTAAATATAGGTTGATCTGCCTTAGGTCTCACCAAGGTCTTATCGAATTCACATATTGTCAGCTTTTCCTAATTCAAGGGTGCATTTCTTTGATAATGTGTTCATTAATATAATACCCCCAATTGGTGATATGTATTTGTGAACTGCAGCGCCCTTAAAACACATATCATCCACGCAAAGTAATGTTTATATGGCAGGAATATGCGATTGTATAGCGAAGTGGATTTACTTTCGTTTAATAATTTCACTGTAGAGATAACTACTTGTCTCTTCCGAAACGCTGCCCCGGCCATGAGTTTATTTTAGTTTCCGAAACTAACTACGGACGTGATTTCACCAACTTTTAACCTTTAATTGTTCCAAATTTCGCTTTACACTTTACTTCCTTGCGGATAGAAAAGCCGGTTCACTTTAAAGAGTTTCCGAAACTAACTACGGACGTGATTTCACCAACTTTTAACCTTTAATTGTTCCAAATTTCGCGATCTAATCTTCGTAATCGCAAATTGAGCGGAAGACCCCTTTTTCTTCTTTGTGTTTCTATATATATAATTGACGGATCCAACGTAAATCTCGCGACCGCGTCTCTTGTCAACGACACCGAGAGCCCCGATTCTTGTCTACTCTACGTTTTCGGTTCGGCACAAAACGAACCACCAAAGCCACACGATTCGCTGCTATCTGCTTATAATATTGTAAAAATTTAAACGGCCTGGCGTGCTCCCGTGGCACGGTATGTTTAATAGAGGTGATACCTTTGTACAAACCTTGCGAGGAACACCCGTATTGCCGATACCCCAAATCCTAAGTGTCGTCAGCTAAAATTTGAATGATAGCGAAATTGTTTTGTTTATACAAAATATAAATATTATTGAATTTATTTAACTGACTCGTATTGCTTTTTTAATACAAATTTTTGAATTTTTCCCGACTGCGTTTTGGGGAACTCATCTACAATCCTCAACTGGGTGGGAATTTTGAATTTAGCCAAACTCTCCTTGCAGAACTCTGTAAGTGCTTCCAGCGTTAATTCGGCTCCATCGCGCAATTTTATGCAAGCACAAACTTCTTCGCCTAATCTTTCATGCGGCAAACCAATTACGTGCGCATCTAGTACGGCTGGATGTGCATTCAAGAAATCCTCAATCTCTTTAGGGAATATATTCTCGCCTCCTCTAATGATCATATCCTTCAGCCTCCCCACAATTTTCCCATATCCGTCTTTGCGGAGAATGAATTGGTCCCTGGTGTTTACGGAAAGTAGTTATGGAGTTCAAGAACCGTTTTGATACAATTACCCGGTTTTTAACCAATGGTGGTTGTCGATCATTTCGTCGGTTTTCTCTCGATCTTCCCAGTAACCCAGCATAGTGGTATATCCTCGAACGCACAGCTCACCCGGTGTTCCTAAAGGCACCACCTTATTGTTTTCGTCAACAAGTTTTACTTCTAAGTGATCGCAAACATGCCCTACGGTATTGAGCATCTTTTCTTCGTCATCTGATGGCATGGTTTGAAAGACACAAGCAGTCGTCTCTGTTAGTCCATATACGGACTGAAAGCTTGTGCTCAGTTATAGTTTTGGGGTTAAGTACTATGCTTACCTTCACTTTATTCACGTTTAAGTGTTTCTTCATTTTTTTGAACAGTTCAGGCGAGCAAAGTGCTCCACCGGAAACTGCTATTTCAGGAGAAATGTTTTCATTGTACTGCGACTGAACGTTGACTAAATCGACGTACATTGTCGGTGTGCCGTGGATAATTGTGCAACTACAATCAGAATTTATCAAAAGTACCCATTAGTTCCAACCCACTTTTCCTCTTTGATCGCTTTCAGGTTTTGGAGTGGATTGTACCTCGGGGAGGGTACAACCATTGTAGCCCCATGACTTATAGCCGCCCCAATTGTGATCGTACAACCAAACGCGTGGAAAAATGGCACTTGTACACAGATTTTGTGATGTTTCGTCTCTAGCTCGTTTCGCTGTCCAATGAAAAATGCGTTGTTAACGAGATTATAGTGGCTGACCATTGCCGCCTTTGGTTTCCCGGTGGTGCCCTAAGGAGACAAGCAATTGAAAAAAAAAAGCAGACTTATGCCACATACCTACAGATGTGAATTGAATGTTAACCGCATCATCGGGGCGGACACAATCTTGGTTGCTTTTAATTTTCTTAATGGAGGTTTCGTTCGCCAAATGCAAAATTTCGTTATAATTAAATGTACCACTGAAAAACAAAGGTAAAGACCTGATTCGGTCTTGTAACCACGTTGTTATACCCAAGACTGTTTTCAGATACCGTGATGATGTTTTTTAAGGACTGGGTGCTGGGGTTGTTCAAATTTTCGGGTTTTTGCTGGCGCAAATTACTTACTACGGTGCCCAGAGTATCATAGAAGTGCAGTTTGTCACACATTTCTGGGCAGATAATAACTTTCATGCCAACCTTGTTAATACAATACTCCAGTTCTTGAGCGATGTAATTGGGATTTATGAATACCTGAAAATGATCACAGTAACACAAGGTGTGACAGGGTGCATCTTTACCGCGACGAACCCCGCTCGTGCGCAAGCAAAACAAAGGATGTTCCATTCTAAGATATTGGGCGCCCAGATTCCGACACGATCCCCGTAGTTTACGCCGATTTGATGAAGACCAGCGGCAAATCGATCGGCTTGAGATAGTAAGTCGTGGTAAGTAATTCTTCTGTTTTCTTGAAATGCTATCACCGCCTCCCGTTCGGGGAACCGCGATGATGTCAGTTCCAGTTGTTTTCCTAACGTAGTGTATTTCAGTGGTGTTTTTCCTATGTGGTGCAAGTAACTTAAGTGCGTATAAAATCTTGCTCTACAATACACTCAAATAGTTTGCTCACATCTAACATAATTACATAACCACTTACCCTTTGATTCTGATTCTATTCATATCTACAGTACACTCACTTGGTATTTATAAATACAAATTTGGGGTTCTGCATGCAACGCTTGCACTATGTAGGTAGGTAGGTAGAGAACAAATTGTGGAAATTAAGTACAGTCTACCTTTATCTATTGTAATTGTAGTATAAAGTACTGCTTATCAAAATCCGAAACCAGGGCAACGAGAAAGTAGCATTTTTGTAACGTTTGACTCAGCTATTTGCTCTTTGAACCACCTTACTTTCTCGGATGTGCAATAGTTCAATCGATAAGGGAATGGACTTTATAATTAAAATTAGAATTTTTATGGATTTTTGATAATATTACCACCCATCGTCTGTTGTAATCTGATTAGTGCACTCAAAGATAGTATTATCTTTGCTTCATTATGAAATGGCTACGTTCTCGGAGAAAAATGCCTAAATTGATTTATCCAACAGTCCAATAGCATTCATCCTCCTCCGAATTAATTCTCAAGGCGCATATTTTGTGTCTAATTTCCGCGAAGCCCCATGAAGTTGTCTATCTAATTTTTTCAATAAAAAGAGAAATTGCGCAACGAAATTGGTGGACCTTATTTGTTTTATTTACAATATTATGAGTGATGTTTGACGCGTCAGCGACTTCTAGTTCAGGAATAAGCTAGAGCCAGATGATGCTAACTGGCTCAAAACTGGAAGAAGAGTTGTATGGAAATGGGCCAATGAGAACCTCCAGGAACGGCAAAATTTAAGATGACCCCTGTGGTGGTGGTGGTAACCCAAAATTAATATGCTTATTTTCTATGTCGCACTTCCTGTCTGTACTGTGAACCTACAGAGTTCAATGGAATAACATTGCATAGTTGCATACAGGAAGGTGGCATGGATTATTGCTTATAGTTAGTTAGTTTTTTAGCGCATTTTTGGTAACAAAAAGGAGCTTATCATTTCACTTTGTCCGGCTGGCTGGCTGGCTGGCTGGGCGGATTGAAAAACTTTTGATCTAGACATCGTAGAGAGGTCCGGTTTTTTGCATTATCTCCGTCTTGTCGAGTTATTGGCGCAATGGACATTCATTAAGCCCGTAGTGGTTGCGTTTAATTAGAATTTGCGAAATAACTAACGCCGCTTGAAAACTTGTCCGTGCGTATATCGATTTTAAGCCGATCCGATTGACGTAGAGGAATGGCTTTTTTATAAAATATACTTTTGGCATTGCCTAACTACGGTCACTAATATGACTTATCTAGGATAACTACTTCAAGGTGAAAACTAATCAAAATCATAACACGGTGATGAGTTTTACAGTTTGTGGTATAATTTTGGTTAAAAATATCGTATCCAGGTCTGAGCGGTTTTTAGCGTAACACAACGAAGTTGAGGTAACGCTTATGTGCTCGTGTTTCCGTCTGTCCGTCCGCCCGTCCGTCCGTCCGTCCGTCCATCGAGATCTCGGCCCTGGGACACCTAGAGACTTCGGGTTTTCGCTAATTGATAGCTGCTATGGTCTATATTTGCCCATTTCAGACAGTTTTATTGCACTCTATTTTGCGCAGACTGCGCATTGCCAACTTTCTTATTTATGGAGATATTTCTTTGAAATTTTAACCACAGATGCTTCTAGTAAAGGCAAACATTTCACACATAGTAAAAATTATGTAGACATGCGCAGTGACTGCGCAATGCGAACTTTCCTATTTACAGAGATTTTTCTTTGAAATTTTAACCACAGATGCTTCTAGTAAAGGCAAACATTGCGCACATACTAAAAATTATGTGTGCGCATGCCCAGTCCCTGCGGAATGGGACTGCGCAATGCCAACTTTCCTATTTATGGAGATATTTCTTTGAAATTGGAACCACAGATGCTTCTAGTAAAGGCAAACATTTCGCAAATAGTAAAAATTATGTGTAGGCATGCGCAGTGACTGCGCAATGCCAACTTTCTTATTTATGGAGATATTTCTTTGAAATTTGAACCACTGATGCTCCTAGTAAAGGGAACAACTTGTTGATTGCAGCGTTATCGGAGATCGGGGATTTCATTGAGGCAACTGAAGACGTCTTGATTATGGGAGACTTTAATTTCCCATTAACTGTCGTAAATCGGGTAGAGAAATTTCTTCAAGAGAAATTCAATATAGTGATCATCTCTCCCCGAACAGTGACAACGAATGGCGGAACAATAATTGACGGAGTTTTTGGCAAAATGGTCAACTACACTGTTGATTGTTCGGTTTACGAGTCGTACTGTTCATACCATCGTCCAATTATTATTAGAGTTCGTGAAAATTAATAAAGAAATATATGTTTGCATAAACCTTATTTTATAATTAAAATTTTCTGATAAAATACTGATTGCTAATGCAATACTGATCCGTCACGCCAAAAATGCGCTGAAGTCTCATCGATGCACATACGAGGACTTTTGTAATTTTTTAGTAGCTCGAACCTGTTGGTATTATCGAAATGTAGCTTTAGTATGATATGTAAATAAAGTACTTAAATAACACCCAACATAAATTATTACACCCCGATGAAAATGAGGATAACCCTACCGCGGGTAGAGTTCTGTGGAGCAGTACTGGCGGCAAACAAATCTTCAATCTCAACACACTCGGTGCCTTTCTGGATTCAATGGGACTACTAAGAGTAGGGGTCAGATTAATAATTCCTCCAAAAAGGCATTTGGTCACACTAGTCGTAAAGGATTCCCATGCCAAATGCCTTCATGGAGGGAATCAACTCACATCCCCATTGGTGCGACGAAAGTACAGGATACTGCGAGCAAGAAATTTGGTTCTCTCGGAAGGCAGAAGCTACATACGCGGTCTGCGATTCAATCACAGCACGGTTGACAGTCAAGGAGAAATCTCCTACCAGTACGGATAAATTGGCAGACCCTTTAGCAACCGCGGCACCTGACTACGCAGAACCTAGGGATTTCTGGAAAATTTGGAACTACCACATGGTTTGGCCGTTAAGTAAATTTGTGAATTTCGGCGGGACCTCCAAAATGTTAAAGGTTTATTTTTAAATTTCAGGTCAAAAGGAGGCCGCTAAAAATTAAGGATCTAAATATATTTTGACCCCTCTTTATTTCCCCAATCTTCCCTTGACCTTTGTGATATAAATGCTTAATTTTAGATTTAAACAAATATACAGAGAAAGCAAATGATAACATTAGTTAATACTTATATACACAGCACACTCTGCTGGCTTTCGGAACATACCTACAGGTTTTACTGTATCATCAGTCAAAGCTGAACACAATTGAATTGTTGTCGCAGCACGTATTTTTGAATTTTTCCGGACGCGGTTTTGGGAAAGCTCTCTACGATCCGAAGTTGACTGGGAATTTTGTAGTTCGCAATTCTTCCCTTGCAAAATTCAGTCAACTCGTCCAGGTCTAAATCAGATCCCCTCCTCAACTGAACGCAGGCACACAGTTCTTCACCAAGACGTTCGTTATCGACACCGATGACCTGCGATTGCAAATACCATAAGATCAATACTTAGAAAAACGCAATTTACATGAACTTCGTTAATGTGGGGATGATTACTGATAAAATCCTCGACTTCTCGTGGAAATATGTTCTCGCCACCTCTAATGACGACATCTTTTAACCTACCAACGACCTCGCCGGACCCATCTTCGTGCAATATAAATCGATCTCTGCAAATTTGCGTGAAAATTCGTTTTCGTTTTAGCGTAACTAACCCGGTCTTTAACCAACGTTGACTGTCCATAACTTCCTTCGTCTTATCAGGTTCTCCCCAATAATCCGCCATGGTCACGTATCCTCTGATGCACAGTTCGCCGGGTGCACCGAAGGGTAGCGTCTGTCCGTTGGTGTCGACCACTTTGGCCTCGATGCATTCTCCAATTTTACCCACCGTTTTCGTTTCGAGTTTATCACAGTCCATCATGGAGAGAAAGACTATTGCTGTGGTTTCGGTTGCCCCATAAGCTGCCTAAGGTTTAAATAGTGAACTACGAATTTTCGTGACGATTGTTTAATACCACAATATGTTTTATTTTCAGTACTTCTTTCATGTTGTACAATAACTTTGGGGACCAAGCCGCTGCACCGATCAATGCTTTGGACAGGTTTATGGTTCTGTTACATTCGCTTTGTAAGTTTATTAAATCGTGATACATTGTGGGCGTTCCAAAGATCACATTGCACCTAGAAATACAAAAATAGTCGAACCACATTTTGACATTACTTACCTTGATTTTTGCTATGTTATGAACGTAAATATGCAATATAAAGATTGTTTCACTAAGAATGAGGAATAATACTGATACTTTTTCAATAGCTAATATCAAAATGAATGCAAAAATTCAATATGGAGATCAAAGCTTGTGATGGAACATTGGGGAAATGTTGTCAGAATGGAAATTAAGCTGGTTCTGCTTTCAAAGTGTTTTTTGAAGTAGAAATCAGTGGACAAACGCATAGATTAAACAAAAGGCAAACTGCATTAGACTTCAAGCTTTTTCTGCAATTTCGCATTTACCTAGGCATGTGACAACCCTTACCTTTCCTGCTCAATTGCCATTAGGTTAGACGTCGGACTGTACATTGGAGAAGGTAACACTAAAGTCCCACCAAAATGAAACGAAGGCATAATACAGACCACCATTCCAAAAACATGAAAAAGGGGTACTTGTACGCACAATCTGTGATTTTCGGTGTTCAATTCTAAAGTTTTCCCAATGTAGTAGCCGTTATTCACCATCTGCAAATGATTTAAACAAATTCCTTTCGGTTTCCCAGTTGTCCCCTGTCGAAAAATTCAAATTTAAATAACAAACGAGACCTGTAAATCTTACCGAAGAATATTGGATATTGCAGATATCGTCTGGGGAAATACTCCTTTGATCCTCCCCAATCTTTGTAACATCCGCCAAATTTGCCATCTCCACAACTTGATAGTAGTTATAAGCGCCACTGTCATCACTGTCATTGTAGATACTGGTATTATTGGGCTCACTTACCTGAGCATTGTATGGGAAATGCTAATAACAGTCTTTAGCGTGGGAACGATGTCGGAGCTGAAGCTTTTGGCGTCGCATGTTTTTAATTCTGGCAATAAACGGCATAGTATATCGTAAAAGTTTAACGATTTGTATTCGTCCATACAAATCAGCGCTTTTACGCCACATTTGTTTAAACAATACCTCAACTCATCGGCTTGATAGGTCGGGTTCAATGCCACCTGGAAGACAAACGCAATGCAATTTGTTGTTCATAGATCAAGATTATCCCCATGTTTCTTACAAACGCTGTTTGAGAAGCCCAAAGATCTTGATACCTCCTCGTCCCACCGTTTTTTGAAAATTTGTTGTTGCTATTCTGGGTTTGCAGAATTACCAGAAAAGTTATAACTGAAACGAGGCTTTTGTAGTGGAAACAAGTTCGAAATAGTGTTTTTGTACTCCGGGAAAGGGCAAGGTACCACGCAAAATTTACAATCACAATAATTTCATCCTTTCAGGTGTGGTGAAGAGAGTGTTACTATTTTTACATGTCAGCGGCTGCGACACCGCATCTGCAATGTACCGACAAGGGAAAGAAAACAGCTCTCACCAATCATGATCTGGATATCCGAACAATAACTTTGCTGCGACTCATAATGCCATTTTTGCGAATGGGTAGAAGTTCCTGATCGCTATGTTCGCCCGTAGGAAAAACAGAGCCTTCACGAGTGATTAGAGACAACCTATTTGGTAAGTCTCTCGTTATGGTTAACTACAATTTAGCCGCCCAAACCGATCCCAGCAGTTGGCGGGAAACAATTGGATCATCTGAAGTGAGGGTGGGTTAGGGATAAGAATTTACTCGCCCTTATAACCACTGACGTAAACCCTGCTCTCAATCATATCCTGCAGCTGGATCAAAGGCTGTACGGTTGCGTGATACTTGTGTTCTACAAATTCCGCTACCTGCATGGGCACTCCCTGCTCAAAGGCCCTCACTCTCGACGAAATGGAGCATGAGGACTACCTATGTGGGTTAAACGACGGAGGTGGTACCACCACCGAGACCGACACGGAGCAATCTCAAAAGCAAAAATCAGAATTGTTAATATAGGTTAAAAGAGATTAACTTTATTGTAAATAAAAACGATTTTGATTACTTCGCAATACCAAAATATGAAAAAAACTGGGTCACATGATTATTTTAAAATCATTATTTATTTTTTATTTTTTATAAAACGATTTATTATACACGTTTAAGAGAATTTACAAAGGGAAATGAAATATAAAGCAAAATATTAACAAAAACAACAATGTTGGGCCAATTATGACCCCGTTTTGGTACGGCGAGGGTTAAATAGACCACATCAATGCATTAGAAACTTAGATAGAATTTTAGAGAACTTAGATAACAGCTACCGACGAATGTCACTCGAATTCTGGAAATTCGATACTCATTTTATTGTAATCTTTTTTTATTTAAACACGAACGCGCAAAAAAAACGAGCGTTATTCAGCACAAAAACGCATAATTTATCTTAGTCATGTAAAATATCGATGCGCATAAGTTGGTGGGTGGTGGTGCACTGTTCTTTTTTGAAAATTTGTCACGTACATTTCTTACACCAATACCAAAATGATTGTATCAATCCTTCAACATTTTTCTTTCCAAATTGTTAACATTTTAGCAATATTTCATTCGATAAGTCTAAATACAAATTTTTGTTGTGATTTTGTTAATAGGCTCTATTTAAGTTGTCCAAGTTCTCTAATGCTTTGGTCTATTTAAAAGGGTGCATACGAAAATTGAAGGTATACGTATTAGCTTAAAAGAATGTCTGCATATGCCAAATAACCCATATAGGTAAAGTGTCCTATGCACTCTTATATCGTGATGTAAATTAAGACGTGTCATAGCCTGATATGTCAAAAGTACTTTTAGTTATTAAAATTTTTCTAAAACAAATACTTCTGTGCTGGTTTTTCAATTAAATCGTCATAATAATTTTGGAAATTTATTCCACAAGCTGTGTAACAAATTCTTAGTTAATAAGTATTTAATAACCTTCATCATTTAAACGTGGAAAAATTTCTTATTTTAAAATGCAATACCAGTAAAGTACGTCGGAGGAGGATACGGAAGATAGCCTGTGCCCTAAGCGTTGCAGAAGCACACGCGGATAAAAACTCTTATTATAATCGTATTCGTGATAGAGCTACTGTGCAAAAGGATAGAGCTCAACAGCTGGTTCAAGAAGTAAATGTAATATACCACCAGACGGTTGTAGTACAGGAGAACTGCGTGGATTTCAGCAATATTTGGTTGATTATAAGATTACAATATATCAACGCAATACCAAAGCAGGGAAGTGGTATTTGAAGGTCCCGGAATGAATAAAAAAAACCAGGTGTCAAATTCTTGACAGAATAGCTTCCTAGCTGAAACCAAAAATTGCCAACATATGTACGCACTTACAGACGGGAAAAATTTATTCTTTAATTAATTCTTTAATTTTTTGGTAATAAAACCCGACACAATTTTTGTAGGCTGTACACAGGAAGATAAGATCTTCCAAATAACTCAATAAAAATTTCAGGTTACTATTTGAAAAAAAAAGTTTGATGCCCGTTATTTTTCTGTTCGGTATGCCTAATATACATATCCGAAATTTGAACAAAATCCGTCGAGCCGTTTTCTCAGAAAATTGCCAACAAACGTACGTACGTACATACAGACGGAAAAAATAAGAAAGGTGCATTTTTTACGCATGCATTTTGTTTTCTTTTATTAGGAGGACCTACCTTCCAAATTTCGTTCTAATTGTTCCATAAATAAGAAAATTGCATTTCTGCGCATGCGCATTGCATTTCTGCGCATGCGCAACACGATTTTTGCGCATGAATTTTGTTTGCTTTTATTAAAGGGACTTACCATAGAAATTTTGTTTAAATTGCTTCAGAAACAAGATCGTTGCGTTTTGCACATATGCAACACAATTTTTTGACTTTGACAATTTTTTTCTCCGTTTTTTGATAATATAACCCGGCCCAACTTTTTGTAGGTTGTACACAGGAAAATAAGGTCTTCCAAATAATAGAATAAAAATTTTAGGTTGCTATTTGAAAAAAAAGTTCGATGCCGTTACGGCGCTCCAAAATTTTTTTCAAAAATCCGGCCCGTTATTTTTCTGTTCGGTATGCCTAAAACATATATACAAAATTTCAACAAAATCCGTCGAGCCGTTTTCTCAGAAAATTGCCAAGAAACGTACATACAGACGGAAAAAAATTTATTCTTTAAAAGTTGCTTAAAATGGTCTAAAACGTCGACATTTGATGAAATTTTGAAATGTTCAAAAAACGGCTATCGCAATAGCTACCTAGCACATGCTAGGAAGCTAATAAATCTACTTTACGACGACAACCATTTCAACGTGATGACCGTTCGATCACAAAGCAACCGCCGATGTGAGATTACGGATTCTGCATGTCATGGCTGTTTCGGGGAAAAACATGTTTTGAGAATCCTAAAGCGCATAATATTTGCGTCCAAATTAACTAATTAATTAAAATATTTCGTCGCGGATTTATGAAACCAAACACCATAGGGTTAATACCAAAGGGTGGTTGCAGACATTGCGAAAACCAATCGAAAAAGCCATTTGGTTCTACACATCCGTGTGGGTTCAAAAACGTAGGGTACATAATGTCACAAACAGAAAAACATTTTATGCAACAAATTTTGTAACAAAAGTATAATAATAAATGTAACAAACTTCCGAGCCTTTCTGAAGATTTTCGTAAACGACCGCCTACGTGACCATTGTACGTAGGTACATATAAAACAAATTACCTATCAACATAATTTTTCTTGTTTTCAATAATTAACCACGCACATATGGAAGCCCTCGGTGGTCGAATGCATTAAACACTCGACTCTTAATCGAAGAGTTCAGGTTCGAACCCCGGGACGAGAAGAAATCAGAAAATAGTACACCTGCAATGTCTATTTGACTCTCCGCACCGGACAGCTCCTAACTCGCACGAAATATTTCCCCCCATCCCCCTTAGTTAACGGTCGATGAAAGAGCGCCATTATAGGTAAACGGCAAACTTTCGTCTAGAACAATCGCGTGACGCACGTCTATAAGATAGACCCCGAGGAATTTTAGAATCCGCTCGCTAAAAAGGAGGACCATCGTCGAAGAATTCTTCATCAAAGAAACAAAAAAGTGCCCACGCTCTAGCTTATCAGTAGGTATATCACCCACGCAGGCGGAATATATCAAACGAAAAATAGTTCCAGGTGGCATATAGCAAAGGAAAAAATGTTCCCACGCTCCACAACAGGTTAGTTGCCGCAATACCTACTTGAATGATGCCGTTGAGTGAGCAAACATAATGACGAGAGCGTTTTTTCCTCCTAATAATATTAATGCTAGGACCGGAAAAAAATACCGGTAGGCACGAGATCCTTACGCCATTCTCTTTTCAATAAGTCGCCTATCGTTGAAGTATATACAATTTAATGAAAAATAGTGTAGCGTATATATGTAAATACAAACAAATGTTAAAATGAGCAGATTTGTCTTTATTCCAAATGCCTATGCATGAAATTTCGTTTAAATGCTTTCATAAATAAGAAAGTTGGCATTGCGCATGCGCAAAACAACATTTTGGAAATGTCGTTAATTTTACTTATATATTCGTAGTGTTTACATATAAAGTTTCATTTCATAAGTAAAATTAACGACGTTTTCAAAATGTTGTTTTGCGCATGTGCAACTTATAAGAAAGTTGGCATTGCGCATGCGCAAAACAACATTTTGGAAATGTCGTTAATTTTACTTATATTCGTAGTGTTTACATATAAAGTTTCATTTCATAAGTAAAATTAACGACGTTTTCAAAATGTTGTTTTGCGCATGTGCAACTTATAAGAAAGTTGGCATTGCGCATGCGCAAAACAACATTTTGGAAATGTCGTTAATTTTACTTATATTCGTAGTGTTTACATATAAAGTTTCATTTCATAAGTAAAATTAACGACGTTTTCAAAATGTTGTTTTGCGCATGTGCAACTTATAAGAAAGTTGGCATTGCGCATGCGCAAAACAACATTTTGGAAATGTCGTTAATTTTACTTATATTCGTAGTGTTTACATATAAAGTTTCATTTCATAAGTAAAATTAACGACGTTTTCAAAATGTTGTTTTGCGCATGTGCAATGACAACTTTCTTATTTATGGGGGGATTTAAATGAAATTTCATACATAGGCATTTGGAATAAAGACAAATCTCACACCAGTTGCAAAATTTAGTTTTGCGCATGAGCAATGGCAACTTCCTTATTTACTGAAGCATTTGAATGAAATTTAATACATAGGCACTTGGAATACAACCAAATCTAACACCAGTTTTGACAATAAAATTTAAATTTAACCACGCCCATTTTAACTCCCTATGCTAAAAACACTAAAAACAAATTCCATCAGCGGAAATAAATGAGGTCAATCGCAAAATGCGTCATTATCCATCGTGTGAATCGTGCTTATTTATCTGTTCAAGAAGCTGTAATTAATGCTATTAATAGTTATCAATAACATAAACAAGCTAGAAAAACGTTAGCGAAACACGAATGCACTATGATCCTTCACGCCTTCTCTCATTGTCGTAAAAATTATGTTGATAAGACCTCACAATAATCACAAAATGTCCGTACTTATCTTTTAGATCTAATTATGCTGCCCAACGAAGCTGGGTCTACTACAAATAGTATTGAGTTACATACTTGTCCCACATGACTATGCGGAAACTGCCAATCGATAAAAAGCTCTTGCACTTCAAAGGCATCAGAAATAAACTTTGTCACACAGATTTGAATCATTGAGTAATTAAATCTTCACTCAACGTTTGAATTGAACCAAAGAACGTAACAAGGGATAAAGGTTGGGAGCAAGAAATGAATAGGCTTTACCGTTATAAACCCTGCACGAGCGGAAGCAAAAAACGCAATAGCCCATTCGGCAATGTTGGGCGCCCATAATCCGATTCGATCCCCTTTCTTCAAACCCAAAGAGAGCAATCCTGCGGCTAATTTGTCAGATTGCCTCAAAACTTCAGCGTACGTTAACCTTCTCCTGTCAAATCCAGACACGAGGGCAGTGACTTGGTCATATGTTTTTGCAGCTTCCTCTACCAGGCTCCCAATTGTCATATATTTCAGTGGGCTACTTCCAGGATTGTGAATGTAGCTTGGGAGATTGCTTGTACCTGCGTGTAAACGTGCATAGTGATAACAAAATATTCTTACGCTGATTACTTACGTATCATCTTTTTAAAAGTCAAGTGTTGGCGAGTTAAGAGTTGTAAAGTAAAAATACTGACGATACTACTTGCTTAGGAGTGGGTACAGTGATCCTATCCGTGACGACCGAGGTCAAGTCGATAAATATTGCGCAAGTACATTTTTTAAATTATTTATAAGCTTTGTTTTTGGAACGTGGTGTTAAACATTTAAAACATAATAAACGATTCCTGCATTTAAAATGTGACATTATTCGGGGCGCAACATTTGTGAACTTCTAGGAGGGGATCTAAGTTTTTGAATAGGAATGAATTTGCCGATTTTTGAAATATTTTTCAAAATTGTCACCACAAGATTGCAAAAAGAAGAAATTTTGTTCATGGTTTTGTACATAACTTCCAAGGCATCTGAAAGAATACGCCCATAGCAATTATGCCTATTGGAAGCAAATTGAAACAACCATCTCAAATCGAACATTGGTCCTTCGAACCTGAATACATGTGAAAAGTATTTCTTGTTAGTGGATTTTGTTCATAATAACTGAATTTTGAACGTCATGAACGATAGATGTCTTATTTAATTACATGAGTTCTCTCACTGTGTCGTGGATTACTCAATATTCAAGATGTTATAGACGCGTGAATATTCATTGTGGGAGTGAATTAATGACAATAAAAGTGTAAATGGACGAACGTGCGTGGAAAGGTTCTTCAAGGTGAAGAAAAGTGACATTGTACGGAGCAGCGAAAATTGAATCACTGACACACGACAATGATCCTTCGTGGTGTCTTCAAAGGCGATCTTAAACTTGAAAGACCTATGGGAGTACACATCAGGCGAAAAATGGAAGCCAGAACTACAAATCGGAGAAAATGAAACCCCGACGGCAATATAAATGGTTGAAAAAGGATGAAAATGCGCAATCGTTGATGACGCTGATGACCGGTGAGCAATGAATGCCAGATGCCGAAAGAAATGTGGGAGAAACTGCAGAGAATTCACGTGACACCAGAAAATCAAAACGAATCAATAGAATTTAAAAAGCAAAGCAGATTAGTAATCACGATTAAATTGGCTTTCAAATAATGTGCCATTTGCTAGAGGATTCCATTTAAAATTTTAGGGGTTAAGCTCCCTACGTAGAGGGGTGAAGACTTGGGTTCGTGATTTGTATTCCAAAAGTTGTCCCCCTCGAATACAAAATTGACGCGTTCGAGGATTTTTCGAAATTTCTAAATTTAATACCCTAAAAGCCCTATGTATACTTCTCGTTGGGCCACTCTGTATATTGAATGAATGCTATTTCAACAAAAAATTTGTACCCACAAGGCAGTTATTGTGGAAACAAATTTCCAATTTTTCAATGTAAACGCCACCTTAAAAGACAAACTAGGATTGTTTATTATGAATAGTTTCTATGGGCGACCGATTTCGGGTGTTATTTTACCCATCATCAGGCCGTGCTGAAATATACATACACAGGAATTAGATGAGTATGGACTTTGGTTTACATTTTATAATTACCGTCTAGTTGTGTGTTTGCAAGGAAATATAGAATTACCATTCAACATTGAACATTTAAAAAGAGGGTTGTTGATTAGACATCAAGAGATCCAATAATTTAACAAATCATGTTTATAAAAAATACTGGTGAACATATTGTAAACGAAGTTGAGAATCTGAAAAAGTAGGCAATATTGTTATAATTAATATTATATATATAATATAATTAAATGTTATCGCCACTTTATATTAGGTTTAATCGTAATGGCAACTCGCCATGAATTTAAAAAGCACAATTTCATTGAAATGGCGGTACAGTCTTGTAATTCGGCGATTAACTTTCGCAATAAACATATCACGTGCTATTACGCGGTTGTCAAATTTTCTGCATACCTCGATTATACGAATTCGTCTTAAAACTTTTAGTTAAATTCAAACGTTACGCGATCTAAAATGCCACACACCTTTGAAGGTTCAGCAAAGAATTGTCACCAAATTTTTTTTCAAGCAATAAGTATCGTACCTCCCCTCCCCCCAAAGTAGTCTAAATGTGCTTTGACAAAAATGACCTCAAAGCCCCAGGAGATATTTTCTCCAGACATTTGGCGATGATTTTTTTTACTAGTTGCATTTAATTCAGGATTGCCACATTTCGTATATACCGATTTGTGTCGAGTACTTTCAGAAGGAGTTTTGGATATTTCGAAAAAATTGTCTACCTGCTACAAATTTGCCAAGATTTTTGGCCATAAACAAAGCCGGAATTTTGTACTTTTCAAATATTAGTTGAGCTGTTTTCCATATTTTGTGGCAGAAAATGTGTACCTCATTAATTATTGATTACCGATTAGACTAAGGTATGCAGCTTTTCTTTTTGATTTTCTAATTAGGGAAGTCTTTCAAAGGCAACATTATTAAATAAAATGTGAAAATTTGAGCCGTTTGCAACCCCTATAAAGTAAGAATAGTCTGCAGATTCGATCAAAAACGTTTAAAATTTAAGCTGCCTGCAACCCTAATAAAGTATTTCTATTAAACAGGCTGTTGAGGGACAAGCCAGACGCAAGAATTTCTTGGTGAATATTTAAATTTTTCGCGCAACTGAAGGGCTTAATCTGCAAAACTGCTATGTAGCAAAAACTCCAAAATCAATAGATGGACACGTAGATGGTCTTCGAAAGCATTTATTCAATTCTTGGTTTAGGTCTAAATGACGTTTGAAAGGTTCATCTTCTTTAAAATTTAATTGCCTGGGAAGAATATTCTACGGTAGAATCTTACGGAGGCGAATCTATCGGCAGCGAACTTTTATGATACAATTCCGAGAGCAAATTTACCGGAGGCAATTTTACGGTGTGAATCTCTCGTTTAGAAATATTTTCGAATATGTTATCACAATACCTGTTAATTGTAATTTGAAGTATTACTAAAGTTTAGGAGAAAGCTTCTTGAGTAGCTAGCAAATCTACGTCAGTACGTTTTAAAAATTTGGGTGATAGAGTGGACGTAGACTTGAGATATTTTCCTAAAATAGAAACAATAGGATCCCTTGCGGTTGCACAATTAATTCTGGATGGGAGTACCCACTAGAATTTGGTTTATGTCAATGCGATGTTGGAATTTTGATGTTTGTTCTTGTTCCTTAATCGCTATTCTGTAAAAACTATTTGTTCGAGTCAGCTTGAGGACTACTGTCTTATATGCTTTCTAGCTAAAAATAAACAGCTCACATAGTTGCAGTCTTGCATCGATGTCAAAGTGAAAAATAGTAAATTTGGTGCTCATGTTATAAATGTGTTATAAATTAAGTGTGATTGTGATAAATATGATTGAATTGTCATAAATCAACCATTTTATTTACTCTATCATTCCAGTGAACGTTAATAATTAATTTGATATAAATAAGCATTTAAATAAATCCCGTATAAATTTACCTTAACAATATTTGCGCCGAAAATAACATTTTATTTATATTTTATACATGTGGTAAGAAGTAGACTTATTCAGCATTCTTTATACGTATACAGTCCGAATATGTGGGTGTATATTATTATTCAACTTGTCCTTAATTTTTAGACCATTTTCTAGAAGCAATACTGACCACCTTTAGTTACCCTATTAACGTCGAAGGTGACCAAATACGTCATTTCGTTCTACTAAACTCTTGCCTAAGTACAAATTTCTGGACCTTGCCAGAAAGGGTCTTCGGAAATGTTTCCATTATCTTTATTTGAGCAGGGATTTTATAAGTTGCTATCTTTCCCTTGCAGAATTCTCTTAAATTCTCCAAAGACAAGTTCGCACCTTCCCTGAGACGAATGCAGGCGCCGACATCTTCCCCTAACCGCTCATCTGCTATTCCGATCACCTAAAATACCTAATTTATAATCTGCGCATTCGGAAACTACGTACGCTAGCTTCAACAATATCTGGATGTGTATGAAGAAATTCTTCGACTTCACTTGGGGATATGTTTTCACCGCCTCTTATGATCATATCTTTCAACCTACCCACCACTTTACCTCTACCATCCTCGTAAAGGACGAATTGATCCCTGTAACACAAAATAAGGTATGACTAACTTTGAAAGTGGACCTACCCAGTTCTGAACCAACGGTCTTTATTCAGAACCTTCGCCGTTAATTCTGGTTCTTTCCAGTAACCTGTCATCGTTAAATACCCGCGAATGCAAAGTTCACCAGGCGTACCGAAAGGAACGACGTTCTGGTTGCGGTCTACCACTTTTGCTTCAACATATTCGCCAATGTAAGCGATATTTTCCGCCACATCGTTGTGCTTATTGACTTCTTTTAAAGAGTGGAATGCAGCCGACGTCAGTTCGGTTGCACCATACAAACACTACAACATTAACTTTAAAAAACTGACCCGATCTTTTACGAGTACCTTAATGTCTTTTATTTTTAATATGTCCTTAATGTCATCTACAAGCTTTGATGGCCACGGTGAAGCGCCTATAAGAGCTCTGCGTGCATAGAGTTTTAAATTTAGCTTGCTTTGTAAACTAACCAGATCTATGTACATAGTTGGGGTTCCACACACCACGGTACATCTTAAATATTAATAAATGAACTATCTATCGTCAGCGCTTTAAACCAAACCTTTCTTCCGCCATTGCTTTTATATTTGCCGAAGGACTGTACAGCGGCGATGGAAGCACCAAAGTTGTGCCATTGTGGTAAGCACTAAGAAGGCACACGCAAATACCAAACACGTGGAATAGCGGTGGTTGCAAGCAGTATACGTGCTGGTCGTCGTCAATGCCAAGTCTCTTTCCCATATGGTAGGCGTTGTTTACCATTTGAAAATGTGTCAAACAAACTACCTTTGGTCTTCCCGTCGTTCCCTAAAAGAGCCAAAAGTCACATCTGCTTATCTAACGTTCTTCATTGCATACGGAAGAAAACTGAAGATTAGCAATGTCCTCGGCTGCAACTTCGCATTCGTCCCCAATTTCTCCAGTCCCAAAATTCATCACGTCATAATAGCTATACGTTCCCCTATCACCAAAATCACTATAATTCTGTGTTTACAAGGTGAAGTACGTACTTACTTCAATTTTGATGTAGTAATGGTGATAATATTTTTCAAAGTGGGAATACTCGTACATGAAACATTTCCTGGCTCACTCGTTTTCAGATCTGGAATTAAACTGAGCAGTATGCCGTAGAAGTCCAACGTTTTACATTTCTCAGAACAAACAAGTGCTTTCACATCGCAGAGCTTTAATGCGTGTTGCAATTCGGCTGCTTGATACTTAGGATTTATGGTGACCTAAAGCATAACAGAATTTCAGGGCACATAATTCAAATCATTTGAAGAAAGTCAAAAACATGATATTTTGAATAAGTAGTAGTATTTGGGGGGGGGGGGGACTGTGTGAGATACGACGAATCAGAGAAAATATGCGTAACTAAAAAGTTATTATCATGCTTTAAGCCAAGGAAAACTAGAAAACTCAGATCACTTCCGAAGATATGCCAGAGAAATCGAAATTTGCCGACTTCGTTTTAATTTTTTTTATGTTACTTGAACAGATACAAAAAATTTGCTGTGGCGTGCACAGATACCACCCGCACACCTGTTCATGCGCGATTCTGCCCTTTTATGGCTAATAATTTGTGTACCAAAGTTGGTTCCAATAGGTTCAGCCGTTTAGCCGGAAATGAGACTACAGACAGACACACATCCAGACGACAGAGTGACCGACATCATCGAGTTTTTGTCTGATTCGGATCCCTGGTCCTTCAAAACGTGTGTTTCCGTAAAAAAAGTGGGGGTCACCCCAATGCAATACCTCCCTTATTGAGATGCGGGTGGTAAAAATGAAAAACGCTTTCTGAATGCGTTGAGAAGTTTTCATTACAAGATTTCGTTTCGGACAAATCGTCATCATTCACATTATATTTTTATATGGCCGGTAAAAAAGTACATACTGTATTGAGTAGGATTTTTTATTACGAATTTAACGATATAAGTAGATGGGCGTTTATGTCAACTGTGCAAAGATTAGATTAAATGTTGAGTTTCCAAATGACGCTACTAGTTTGCAGAAACGTTTTATTTAAATATCAACCTTAAGATTAGTAGTCAACAAAATAACTGGTGAACGGCGCCTGCGGTGTTTAAAAAGCTCATGGAGAAATGCGAAAGCAATACGTCTTCAGTAAAAAGGCTGCGGTTCGATCGGGGTAGTCGGTGAAGAGACGTACTTTCTTAATATATTTAATAGAGAGAAACAGATTATCACAATATAAATTTTAAATGTTGAAGCAGAACGGAAAAAAGAAAGTTACAATTTGCTTTAGTAATTAGGTATATTTACCAATAATTTCGATTAGGGAGAGACAAAACGAACTGTCTCCATAGGTGGGAATTTAATGTTATGATTTACCTATTGTAACCAACCCTTTAGTTGACTATCAAACAGTTTCGCACTAATAATCTGAAACAAATAAAAAGTGAGATATACAAAACCTATGTGGAAGAAATTAGGGCAGCAAAAATTAAGGCCAACGACTTATACGTAAAAAACTCAGGTAACAAACCAAAAGCAATGTGGTCCCTTATAAACTCCCACAGAGTAATCGGCAGCAACAAGGCAACTATGATAACTGCGGACAACTTCGTAAACTTTTTTTCGAACACTGCAGTTAAGCCCATCAATAGTCATCTAACCTGCAGCACTGATCCTTTAAGATTCAATACCACATCTGCAAGCTCAAAACAACAATTTCAATTTGCCAATGTATCACAAATCGAAATTCGTGATGCTATCCGCAAAATTAGAATTAGCAAATGCAGAGATATATATGGACTAAACGCAAAATTTCTTAAAACCAACATCAACCTGATAGTACCACCCTTAACGATAGCAGTGAACTCCATGATAAGCTCCGGAGTCTTTCCTGATCTCCTTAAAGCTGCTGTGAGGATTCCTATCCACAAAAAAAGGGGAGGTAGAAGATATGAATAATTACAGACCCATTTCCATACTACCAACCTTTTCAAAGGTCGTAGAAAACATACTGTATACACAAATGGTAGCTTTTTTCGAGAATAATGAACTCTTATACGAAAGACAATTTGGGCTCAGAAAAGGACGTGGAACATCAAACGCCATCATAGAGTTCACGCAATCTACGCTGCAGGGATTTGAAAATGGTGTACACTCTGTTGCCTCCTTCATTGACATGTCCAAAGCATTTGATAGTGTGAATCACACAATATTAACGAATAAACTAAGGCATTTCTATAATTTCAGTCCGAACAGCTGTTCGCTAATAGCAACAGAACGCAGTGTGTATTATACAACAATACTATATCTAAGAGTACCGACATAACCAATGGAGTGCCGCAGGGATCGATCCTGGGACCGCTACTGTTCCTTGCCTACATAAATGACCTGCCATCTTGTCTACCAAAAAATGTCACGTGTATACTATATGCCGACGACGTAACAGTTCTGACTTCTGATAGGGATCTCAGGACCGCTGTAACAACCTCTAAATAGCACGGTTCACTTAATTAACGAATGGTGCCAAAGTAATCAACTACGTGTTAACTGTGATAAGACCGCGTCAATGCATTTCACCTTAAAAACTGCGTGTGACCATGTACCATTTAATTTTGTTTCAAGTGCAAAGTTTTTGGGCTGCGTTGTAGATAGGACGCTGAGCTTTAAAGAACACTGTGCTACCATTTGTAAAAAATTGTGCAACGGAATTTTTCTCATGCGTAAGCTTGTGAACAATGCTTCTCTAAATATTGTTAAAACTGCCTACCACTGTCTGATCCAAACTACACTACAATACGCAATTACGGTGTGGGGCCACTGTTGTTCGTGGCCAAAAATTTTCAAATTACAACGCAGGGCTATACGAGTAATTCATGGACTAAGTTTCAGAGAAGATTGTCGTGATTCTTTTGTCGAGTTAAATATTCTAACTTTCCCTTGTTTATTTATTCTCGAAGCGGTTTGCTACATTAAGAAAAATGTAATCAATTTTTCTCTAAGTAGCGATAACCATCAGTATGAAACTCGCTTCAGAGCGAACATCTACACCCACTTCTGCCGTCTGTGAACAACCCAAAACGGTGCTGTCTGGCAGTCTCAACACCTGTACAACTGCATCCCGGAAGCCGTCAGGAAACCCCCAATGCGAAGATTCAAAGAGGTAGTACAGTCTTTTTTACTCAAAAAGGCTTTCTACTCCCTCGACCAATTTACAACGAGCACCAGTAAAGGACACTTTCAGCTCTGAATTCACTCGTGCACACTTTTTAATATGTATTGTGTTATATGTCTGCTCGAACTGTTTGTGGTAGTATGTATGTTTTTGTATTAGTAATGTCTTATACCTATATCTTTTTTTTACAATGACCAATGTAAGTGCTCCGCACATTAACATGATGAATATATTATTATTATTATTATTATCAAAATTTCTAATGCGAGTATCTCGAAAACAGGGCTCGCAAAGTTAAGTGACGAGGCATGTCTATCAGTACATCCAAAACCTTTAACTGCAAATAACTCGAAAGAACGAGTGTGTTTATGCCCAATTCTGTACCTTAAATATAACGGTCAGCATTTGGGCACCATATATGAGTGAGTTTTGATTGCTTAAAAATTGTATCAGGCGAATCAGAAGCGCACTTGGAATACAGAGACAGGAGTAGGGACAACAAGCATGTAAAAAATTGGGTTTAAGGGAAGACCGAAGCAAGCATTTTGCTACAAAATAGCGCATCCCTTAGCGCAGTTCCAATCTCGACAATATTTGGCATCTGGACATCTGGATTTTGAATATGAAAATAACAAATTTTCCTGGTGGAGTAAGTAATTTTATAGTTGAGTATGAATATGATCTTCTGAGGCCGACCTTTATATATTACTTCATGAATCTAAAGCAGGGTGAACTCTATCGATGCATCATTATTTTCCCTCGTTCTTGTTCTGTCTTTTAGGGGCGCTTTATTAGTGCAGTTGTAACGGGTGGAGTAATGGCCGGTCGAAATTTTGCAAATTTTTTTCCGGATATCGATTTGGATTTGTACTAAAATTGGATAAACCTTTCTTCCTTTTGGGGATAAAATTTTTTTCGCTTTGTAACTATTGTAGTATGACATCATGTTGGGTTCATTGTATTAAACTTCCTTGTGCCGCGATTCGCAATAAAGGGGATCACAGAAAATTCTCAGTGCAAAACAGGATGCAGATAACGAATAAATATCGGATTTCTTTAGATAAGTTTTTTATCATTGAGTCACCAGCCAAGCTTGGGAAAGCTGGTTCTGCAAACGCTGAAAAAATTAGTTGATAAGTATTCCCCAGTTAATTGGTTTAGATGGAGGCCATTGTATGAGAAGTACCAGTAATAAAAAAGATCAGCCATTTTGCAACGATTAAGGGGCGTGAATATGTTAGGAGAGAGTTAAGAGGAAAAAATTTTAAAAAGAGAGATTGGTACTGCATAGCCGGGCCGAAGAGATCGTAAATTTTCAATCGCGTGCATTAAGCACCAAACAAGTGATTCCGTTTAAGTGACGGTCGATATTAGTCCGAGTTTAAGTACAGTTTTGCACCATTAGTTAAAACGTGAATTTTCCATTGGGTAAATTTCACGCCCGAAGAGAAAAAGTAAATCGCGGAATCTTAGTTAAAAATTTGTCAAGCGTATTGTGCTAGGAAATCATCCACGTAGTGTTGAAATAAAAATTAGACGTGGACATTACGTATCAAATATAAAGCGCTAAGTAAATTCGAGCGATAATAGCTGTGTGATATGAACCATTGTTCTTAAAGGAAAATAATACGAGCGCATTTTTGGCATCTATCCGACGGAACAAATTTGAAGTTTCACTCATTTGCCGTTGTGTTAAAATTTACTATTGTGCCTCCTTGGAATATAACCATCAAAGTTTTTTAAGTGTGGATAGCCGTTTTCATCAAAGTAATGTGTTTTAAAAGTTCAATGTAATAGTTTGTTATGAAAAAACTTCTTTAAATCGACCAAAAAATCAGGCAAATTAATTCACGAACTTACGCAAAATAAGGTGTTTACCTCAATAAAATTTCACTGTGGGATTATACCTACAAAACTACATGTTTTTGTAAAATCTCGTCTACCTTCTACAAGGAAAATAACCTACTCAACAGCGAGCCAAGGATTTTTCAACTGTAAACATCAGTTGGCATTCCAAAAGTTGCAGTCTACCCCATCCATCAATCAACTAGCATGTAAAGGGCTTTCCAATCTTCATCGAAGTCC